CCCCAAAACCCCAAAACCCCAAAACCCCAAAACCCCAAAAATATAAGAATATTGAAACAAATGAGCATGTCCTTCTTCAATGCCTCTTTGAATTCTATGTTATTAGAATTTGAGTTTCATTGTCAATGAATCTTGAAATTTGGTCAAGAAAATCTTTGGAGCTAATATTTCAATCACTTCTGCTTATCTCTTCAAGAGAATCTTTTAGAGTGCTTTTTGAAATTGCTAGAAAATTGTGAATATTTCTAGGGTATCAACAGCCAAAAATTGCATGGCCATTGAAGGCATAGTTAGTCAGAATGATACTTGGAAACATAGGTTTATTTACCTTCAACAAAATTCTGGACTGGTCTTATCACATCTCTTTTAGACCTAAATATATCATAAAAAGCTATACATTTTTGAAGGAAGATCTCTAATAAATGTGTCTTCCATTGAAATTATCTGGATTTTATACTCTTGGTTTCCAAAGTCCATTTCATTATCAAATTTAAAAGATCAGTTATCTAAATCTAGCTTCTCAGCCTTAGATGCACCCTTTACAATAGTTTGAAAGCTGTAAGAGTCTAGCTTGAAATAGTTGATTCCAACCCATTTAGTGACTTTTGAAATTGCAGGAACTAGAGAAGGTATAAACTCATTAATTCCAAGTCTATACTGTTTTTCCCATTTGTCAAGAGCAATGTAGTTTACCCAGAGCCATTCTAATTCGTTCTGAATTCAATGAGTTAAGAACTTCTTTACAGCTTCTCATTTTTGATCAAGATAGCCTATTCCAACACCCTTAATTTCTGGAGGTAAAATATAGGCAACTCTTTTGCCAAAATCATTATTCCAAGATATAGAATTAAGGAAATTAATACTCCATTGATTTCTTCAATCAATGTACAAATAAGAATCCCCAATTTTAGATTTTCCGTCTGGTTCTTTCCCTTGAGCATTGTAATATATAGAAGTAAGCTTTTCCATGTCAATTTGTTCTTTCTCTATCATATATGAACTGTTCTGACTTGCAGAATCTTTTAAATCTGCATTGAAGTCATCTTTCACATTCCTAGAAATTAAGTGTTTCTATTTTTGACTGAAAGATTTATTTAGCAAAATTAAGATTAAAAAAGAAATTCAAAGACTTCAGACAATCTTACTTGACAGTTAAGAATTTAGGACTGTTTAATATCACAAGTTCTTTCTGCTTTTCGATAAAAGGCTTCTCACACCAACTTCAGTTACCCATTTTTGTAATTTTATTTATTTTTATTTGCAATATTGTAAGAGCAAGAAGGGGTTTTGGGGTTTTGGGGTTTTGGGGTTTTGGGGTTTTGGGG